CCACAACATAGTAAATAGTTTAATTGCTTTTATGTGACTTGTGCAGTCCTCATAAAAGGTTGTTTTTCTTTCCCAACATCAATCTTCATTACTATGGAGGCAATTTTACAATTGTTTGAACAAGTGAGTCTGTCCACTCTGTAAAAAGCATTTCTGAATGTTTTCTGTTTGAAGAGCACTTTAATGGTTTTGTTTAATGGTGGTGGAAGAAAAATAGGATGGGCATCTCGTGGAGTTTTAATAGCCTTCTAACTACAAACTTGTAAGGGAGAGAACTTCTGGATCTAAGGTCCTGGGACACCACAGGACCCCCGCATGGATCTAAGGGGATTACAAGGGAATGGGGAGGGGGGCTCACACTGCTATTTTTGCACAGGAATGTGCAATGCACTGGAGTGATATGGAGGAAGCTTGAGGATTTTCCATGGAAGAGGAGGATCCTGCTTATTGTATTTCATTAATACTGCAGCCCCTCGTGACAATAAAAATGACAGATTAATCTAATATACATATGTACAAAGGTCACTCTCCTCTGTAAAGAATGCAACACAGGCAAAGTGTGATCTAAGAACGCATATGTCTGAGGAGTCAGATTATACACAAACAGTTTGAGGTTTGCTTCCATGTTTAGTCACCTGGCATCAGACTCTTTTATGGCTCAAAAGCTCATAGCTACCCTCTCTCTGGGCTATTGCTTTAATACAGACAGATAAAATATGCAATTTTGCCTGCAATGCAGGTTCTGATTAGTTACTCTGATCCTGGGCCAAATGCTGCAGCTCTCTGAAGCCCATAAAGTTTAGCCTGAGTTTGGTTTGCAGTAGGATTGCAAGTTTTGGCTCAATGACTCCAAATGGTGCACAGTAGTGTAGAAATTACTGTGGCAATCAATTAACTATTTGATGTAGCTACTGCTTGCGAAGCACTGACCCATGCCCATAGAGAGGATGAGCAGGCCCAATTACGGTACCAATCGAGTATATTCTAACCTCCTAATCCCCAAAAAGCAGCAGGGAAATCTTTTTGTACCAATCAGTCCACTTCCAGGTTAACACTCCTGAATGCCTGTGGCCAAGGTAACATACAAATTAAACAGTAATAATGTAAACTTTAAATCGTTATAAAAGACAATGAATATTTTTCTACAACTATTGTCTGTTCCCCCTATTTTTTCCCTATCCTATCCTAATTATTTTCCTTAAGTAGTTTAAAAGTGATTTTCCTTCCCCTTGTTCCCAGTGCAACAAAGCTCTAATCACACATCTTGCAGAGAGTTCTTTCAATGGGAGTAGAATGGAAAGACAATGTAGCATCACTGTAGCATTAGAAAGGGAGGGGTACTCCTAAAGCATGATTTTAATCTATTAAATTTATTAGCTACTGACCAGGAAAAAAGTTAGAGACAAGCTTTCATGCTACACAGAGCTCTATCTCTGTCTGTTTGACTCTGTCTCTTCCACCAACAGATGTTGGTCCAATAAAAGATATTGCCGCTTTCATATCCTGGGACCAACATAGCTACGCCACCACTGCGGACAAGGAAAATTATTGTCTATTCAGGAAGCCCATGCATGGAGTCTGCATCCCCTGCCAGTAAAATTCAGCAGGGGCGGGCCCTGTGTCCACATGTGAAGAGGATATTTGGAAGTGGGGCAGCCATTCCCTCCCTGCAGAAGAAAGGCGGGGGTGCTTAGCAAGTCATGTCAGCACCAAGATGGCAGCAAGAGAATTACACCTCTCACATCGCCCCCATTGCTACCATACCTGAGCCCCCGTGAGGCAGGGAAGCACAATCGTCCCCGTTTTGCAGATGAGGCTCTGGGGCACAGGGCGGTGAAGTGCCTCACCCAAGATCACACAGAATTCATTACAGTGCAACAACTCCCAGATGTCGCTCACTTTTTCTGTTCTTCAAAAGTGAGAAATCCTCAGTGCTGATGAGCTGTCGTGGGGCTGTTCACCCCACACCACTTCGAAGGGATTAAGGTGGCTACTTAACCAAGTAAGCTGCACCTGAGAGGAGACCCGGGCTTGACTGACAAGCACTCATTGAATATGGAGTCCACCTAGGCAGGAGTGTGCGGGGGGCTTGTATAAAGCCAGGAAATGAGGGCAGAAGGTGCCGCAATGTGGAGGTCTGCAGTCACTCTCCGGGAGCAGAGAGGTGGTGAGGAGGAAACCCAGGGGTGGAGCAGAAGCCCTGGGATGCTGATCCTGACCCTGAAGGAAGGGCTTACCCAGAGAATGAAGAAGAAAGCCTGTGGAAGAGGGAGTAGGAAACGGCAGCAGGGGATGGGGTTGTGCAGACCTTGGCTGCTGCTGATAGGGTTCCTGGCTGGAACCTGGAGTATCACGCAGGTTCCCCTACCAGCCACTGGGAAAGTGACAGCCTGGAATGGCATCCAGACAGCTGGTCCAGTGAGACTTTGTTACCCCACAAGGAGAAAACTAGTGCCCTGAGCAGAGCACCAAGCAACAAAGAGGAAGCACTGCTACAATTAGAGAGCAAGAGGGGCTGCAGTGCAAGCGAAGGAAGGAAGGAAGGAAGGAAGGGGAGGTCAGACCAGGCAGAGCTACTCCACAGATGCAGCCACAAGGAGACACCCCAGCAGTGAGTGAACTCTAGTACAGCCTGTTCCCTAAGGGTTTCAAAATATCCTAGGGCTGTTTCAATGTTCCGTCCCTGCTCCATGAGGGAACAGGCTTGTTTAAAGTTGTGCAGTGCTCCCTTATAATGTCGTTTGGCTGCCTGCTCTGTCCACTGCTTGTAGGATTCTCTGGAAGAGCAGCGACTTTACAAGGGAGCATTGCACAACTTCCTCTTCTCCACCTCCTCCCTCTTCCTCCCAGAACTTCCCGTGCCGCCAACCAGCTGTTAGGACTTTCTGGGAGCTGGGGGAGGAGCAGGGACACCGCGCTCAGGGGAAGGAGGCGGTGTGATAGGGGGAGCTTCACTGCCGGTGGGTGCAGAGCACCTGTTAATTTTTCACTGTCAACCGGGACTGAACTCTGCCAGCATTCAGGAGCCTGGAGGGGAGGGGAGAAGAGTTTCACAAACATCATTGCTGAGTATAGTATTAAATTGTTTGTTTAAAACTTATACCTGTATTAAATTGCTTGTTTAAAATTGTTTAAAGCGTATACTGTTTATGTATATAATGCCTTTTGTCTGGCAAAAAAAAATGTCCTTGGGAACCTAACTCCCCATTTACATTAAATCTTATGGGAAAATTGGATTCGTTTAACATCGTTTTGCTTAAAGTCGCATTTTTCAGGAACATAACTACAATGCTAAGTGAGGAGTTACTGTACTGGATTTCAAGTCCTGCCTCAGCCACAGACTCCTTGTGTGATCTTGCTTCTGTTCTTTCCTTTTCCCCAGTTACAAGGTGCTGGACTGAGGGCCTGAGGGGCACTGGTGGAAAGAGAGATGTAGTTGCTGTAAAATGTAGTAAAAGTGACAGCTGCAGGCTCCATCCCTGTCCAGCTGGGACATGAGGCAACATGGGCTTAGAGGCGGCTAATCAGCTCCAGGTTCAGATGGGAGCTGAGATCCATGTTACCTAGAAGGGAGTAGGTGCTGATCTTCAGAGGTATTTAGGTGCTTCAATGCCACTGATTTCAATGGGAGTTAGGGACCTAAAGACCACTGAGGATCTGGGCCTAGGTTCGTTGACTTTGGGGAGGGAAAGGGAAAGGCTGGGATCCTTTGGACCCCAGATTGACTGTTTTGAGCCAAGTGTGGCGAGGCCTAAAACCATGATCAGGCACCAAAGCAACTGTAATGAAAAGAATATGGCTACTTGATCTGTGATCCATTTCACAAATAGTGCACATGCAATATACACTGCAGTATACAGCAGTGCTAAAAAGACACCACTGTTGCAGCTACCTGAGCTGGGATAACCAAGTTAGATTTAAGTTGTGGCTCCCCATCATTGGGATGTGTTTAAGAACAGGTTGGACAAACCCCTATCAGGGATGGTCTAGCATGGTCCTGCCTCAGGGCAGGGGGCTGGACTTGATGACTCTTCAAGGTCCCTTCCAGCCCATTTCTATGATTCTAAGTGAAATGAAAAATTGAAGATCTGGGTTCTCTGACTATTCTCCAAAATGGCAAAATGTATTACAAAATCTCTCCCCGTGAGTGTCTGGGAGCAGAGGGGGGGGGAAAGTATTGCTTCAAGCATTAAAAACATCACCTACCTCAACAGTCATAAACAGTTTACTAGCTGTTTATTTTTAATGCAGCTAGTGGAAACCTAAAAAGGCTGCTTTCCCTAAAAATAGTGTGAAAACACTTCGTTTTGGCAAATTCAGTCAGGCACTTGTTCAGAAGGTTCTTAACATGTGATGCTTCACAGTGTGTAGTCCATGGTTTCCAAGGAAAAGAGAAGGCAGCTGTATACCATGGTCGATGATAGATTATAGTATGTTGTGAGAGGAATCATAATTTTGTTCTCTTAGGAGTGAGCAGAATTTGATGATAGTCCATGAAAGAGCAAAGTTATCTGGATGGTTGTTTATGTTCCTCTGAATTTCTTTTGGAAAGAGACTCAAGACTTTCCTATGAAGATGCAGACTGCTCGGTTTTGTATTTCTGGTAGGCATCTAGTATTTCTGCGACGATGCTTGGATCATCCAGCGTGGTGACATCTCCCAAATCACTGGATTGGTCAGCAACAATTTTCTTCAGCACCCTTCTCATAATTTTCCCGGATCGCGTTTTCGGAAGGCGTTTCACTACCTGAAGAGAAGGACAAATACACTTGCCTTAGAACTTTGATCCTGATGAAACTATTTGAGTGAACCCAGCCTTGAAATGATCCCACTGCATATCCTAGTGAGATTCCTGGGCACTGTTTAAGAGCAAGGCATGGTGGTCACAGTCCAGGAAGAAGGAATATGGTGATGTTTATTTTTTTTATTAGTTTTTAACTGATTTTTCTCCTTTCTTTTTCCAGTTTTGTCCCAATGGGAGATGCTAGGTGCTCAGTGCTTTTGAAAATCAGGCTATTTATTCAGGTGCTAAACTACAGAATTAGAAGCCTACCCACAGGCACCTGTGTCTAGAAATCTTGGCCTGAGCACTCACATAAATCTCAACGTGGCTTACAAAAGCGGGTAGGTATCATCATCCCTATTCGTAGATGTGGAATCTAATGCCCGGAACAGTTAAGCCACCTGGCTCAGGGTCACATAATACTCTAAGTCAGTGGCAGAGCCAGAAATACATCTCAGGTCTCCTAATTCCCAGTCCCATGTCCTATCCACTGTAGTTCGCTACCTCCTATATACAGGCAAGGGTTAATGTTAACTGATAAGGTCATAGGAAAGGCCATAGCAATGGACCTGAAGGGTTACTATTTGTCTACACTGGCAATTGAACGACAAAAGTTTTGCCGGTGACAAGTGCCAGTGTGAACAGCGCTTTGTTGGCAGGGCGCAAACGCCGCTCTTTGGGGGTGGAAGTTTTAGGTCAGCAAGAGGGCCGACAAACAGCGGCTACACTGCGTGACTTTTAGTGGCACAGCCATGTCGCTAAAAGCTGTGTACTGTAGACATAGCCTTTGTCTGGCTTCTGTAGGATAGCTCCTTTGCACAGACCGGCCACGCAACCTGCCATACGACTGCTCTGGTTTTGGATATATATGCCGAAAACAGGCCAGTGGGTAAGAAAACTGAAGAGCATTAATTGCTAATCTGTAGGGAAAGGGAGCAGTATGATCAGCCATGGACTTTACTCTGGGACTATCTGGGAATCCTGGGAACACCTGATGGCTCTGGGAGTAAGTCTTTCAATGCCTGGGTGAGATGAGCATCAGTTGGTGGTGCAAAGTATGCGTCACTTCATCTTGGGTTGTACTACAACCGTAGCTTTGCTCTTGTATGTTCCAACCTTTCCCTTAAATTTTGATTTTTTTTTAAAACACGGGGATATTCCATATACCTCTGTATTCCCATCAGTGCACCCCTCATTCTGATGAACTGTACTGTGGGTCTAGCAGACACAGAGGCATATGAACGCAGCAGGGATGCTGTATTAAGATGGAGGTAGAAAATATCAGACATTTTAAGCAACTTGGCTGTTTGTACATGCTTTAAACAGGAGGGGCCAGATCCCCCCGTGCCAGAACTCTGCTTAATGTGGTTTGGAGGCAGAAGTAGAAAAGCTGGTTTCTTTGTGCACTCCAAATTCCTAGGGTTGGTTCAGTCCTTGGCATAAGTAGAACAGCCTCAGGGCTACTCTAAATTGTACACCGCTGCAGTAGCCCCCCCAGGAGGATGCTTTGCAACCAAGGATTCCCAGGTGCACTAGCACTCCAGCCATCCCCCTTTTCCTGCAGCCATGCCTTTGATATACTCCCGACACCAGAGCCTGG